TTATTCCCTTTTTCTTTCCTTTTACCCCTATTTATGCTGAGTCAGAAGGCACAAGACCATGGGAAGCTTGGTCAGCACAACTAAAACTTTCCATCAAGACATTATGACGGTCGCGCTCAACAACACACAATCGACCTTTTATGTACGATAGCGACGCTCAAGGACAACGAGCACAATGGATGCAGACACACATAATAAGCAGTAGTATAATTAGCAGACAACTGAACAGTATTTAAGGACTGCAGCTCTCGCTGGTATACCCCAGCTTTGAGCTAAAGTTTATACACACCATTCTACCTCGAGTCTATATCTGACCTTGAGTCACAACAAACGGATATACTCTAGTGGACTCGGCTGATTCCTCGAAGTGCGAAGGAACATCCGTTTACCACGTGTGTCTGTGCACATGACGCTTGGGCTTAACAAGTAATCCCAGCTTTGAGCTAAAGTTTATTCTTCACTATCTACTCTCGAGTGACTTGCAACTGCCTTGATCACACAACTCTGATAGCACATCAGTGAACTCTAATAGTCAACCCAAAGTGTGAGGTTCTATTAGTTTATCACATGCTATTAGTCATATGAAATTTGGGCTTAACACCAATCTGCTTCTCTCTCTCTCTCAAACTCAAGAGGTTCATTGTTTTCATTGACAACTGGTAACTGAATACTAACAGGTACTACAGGATCACTTGAGCATGCTGATATACTGCTTTTGCCAGAGATGAGGTTCAGCATCTGCTGACTAGGCTTTCAAGTGTATCTGGAACAGGTTTCTTCAATTATGGGTTGGACTGTAGGCTGGGCTTTGGAGGTAGGTAACACCTGTGATAGCTTTGCAGTAGGTGGATTGGACTGAGTTTTTGGTGTTGACAGAATCTTGTGTAGCTCAATATTTTTCTCTTCTTTAAGATTGTCAGTGGCAATATGAGTTGTATCAAAGTAGACATTTTGCTCAACAGACACTGTCTTGCTCTCTATCCAGTAGACATAGAATCCATTGCTTGTTTCATTGAATCCAACCCATCAACCTTCATGTACATGGCTATCCAGCTTTATAGTCTTAGCCTCAAGGCATACTCAGCATTTCTCTCCCCATTTCTGCAACCCTTTTAGATCTGGCTTCTTTTCTGTGACAGCCTCATAAGGAGTCATACCATCCAGAGCCTTTGTCAATATTCTGTTGAGAATCCATACAGCATGGCAAACAGCCTCAGCTCATAGGAAGCAAGATAAGCTGCTCAAATGCAGCATAGCTCTGACTTTTTCAATAACTGTGTGATTATACCTTTCAGCCATTCCATTGTGCTGTGGTGTATCATGCACAGTCATCTTTCTTGCTATGCCAGCAGTTTTCAGATGCAAAAGAAATGCTTTATCAAAGTATTCATCTCTATAGTCTGAATAGAGGATTTTTACAGAGCAGTCATGCTGGGTACAGATGTGAGCTTTATAGGTCTTGTACACCATGAAAGCTTCACTCTTCTGGCATAAGAATTCAAGATAAGCCTAAAGAATGCTATTATCAATGAAGGAGATAAAGTAATAGTGTTTATGCAGGGATTCCATGAGTGCAGGTTCCCATAAATCAGAGTGAATTTTGTCTCCAATATCAGTTGCATATTCTCCCTCTCAAGCCTTAGACACTGGCTTTTATGTAGCTTTAGCATAGACACATGACTTGCAGAACTGTGGTTCTCCAGATGACTTGTCAAGCTTTACTCTGATCACAAAGCCTTTTTCAATCAGACAATGAGCAACTTCAGGTGAAATGTGGCCCATGCAGTGGTGCAATTGGTCTAGAGTAAGTATCTTCTCAGCTGTTCCAGCCAAATCTCCCTTATGATGAACCTGATATAGACCACCATCATCTTTTGAGACAATTCCAACTACCTTTCCATCTGGTGCATGGATAGTGCATTTTCTGCCACCAAAAGTCAACTTGAAACTAAGATCATCAAGTTGGCCAACTGAAATGAGTGTATAGCCAACTTTCAGGAGAGTATATGACTTTGGTGAGTTGCAGGTTGCTCATATTTGTGCTATTTAGCACATCAATACTCATCATGCTCTTTCCAGCTGCAGAAAATTTTTGAGTGTTCACAACACAGAATGCCTTAGGCAGGACAGACTGGAATGAGTTGAAATCATTGCAGTAAGGGGAAATATGGCATGTACAGCCAGAGTTATAGAGTTCAGTATAAATTTGAACATCAGGTGAGTTTATAGTGTTAGTAACAGCTGCAACTGACTCTTTAGAAGCAGATACATCCTCCAAAGTTGGCATGCCAGATGTGGCATCTGATTGCCTGTCAACAAAGGAGTTTACATCACTCCAATCAACATCTGAGGACAATGTGCTGCTCAGCTCATCCCACAACTCATCACCAACCTTTGAAAAAAGGTCAGTACCATCATCTTCATCTTCTGAGTCCTCTGACAAGCCCTCAACTTCAGACTCATCTGACTCAGAAACCGCAGCCAGCAATGGCATGTCACTAGTATCATCAACCCTGAATGCACCACCAGCTTCCCAGTCCAAATCCAATGATTTCTCAGCCACATTGGCTATTTCACTCTTTGATCCAGAGGCCTTGCTGTCATTGTCTGATGACTTCTTCTCAGGGCATTTGTTTTTGAAGTGTCCTTTCTTCCCACATCTCCAGCACAATTTCTTGCTGGGTTTCTTGCTCTTCTTATTGCCACCTGAGCTTGATGAAACAGACATAGCTTCATCTTGCTCTGAGTCCTTTCCCTTTCCAGACTGCTGACTATGCTTGGCTTGCTTATGCTCCAGTCAGTCATATTTCTCAGAAATGGCATGGATCAGGTTCTCAGGATTGACTTTCTTGTTGAAACTAAAAAGCTTTGCCACTGTAAGGAGAGTTGATGCATGTTTGGCAAGATAGAGAGGGATAGAGGTGAGAATTGTTGAGCAGTAATTCTTCTCCTTGATGATGACACTGATGGAAGCTAATGACTTCTGTTTTGTTGACAGATTGTCAAGAAACTCATGAACATTGCCTTTAGCTGGACAATGCAACTCCATAAACTGCTGCCAAAGGTCAGTTTGTGCATAGCCGCTCTTATCAGTAAACTCTTTTTTGATCTTTGACCAGGCTACAGCAACTGTGGGAAGCTGCTGAATCTTCACAGTGACTGAGTCAGGGATCTTCAAGAGCAGGAGGTTCTTAGCTACAGCCTCATCTTTCTCCCATTCATCTAGCTCAGCCATGAGAGCTGTTGTGGGTGCAGTGAGAGAGGGTTTGGGCTTTGATCCATCAAAGTGATCCCATTTCCCTTTGGCTTGAACACCAGTGGAAAAGCAGAGGTAGAAGATGGACCAGTTGTAATCAGACATGTTCAGTGTGGGGACATTCAATGGTAGGCCTGTAGTCAAGGCAGCAATGGCAGAAGTCATTTGAGTATGAAGGATGGGATAGAGTAATTCTCAGGGCTGTATAACCTCTAAAAAAGTGATGCACATTCATAGCACCTAATAGAGTACACTGTTAGCTATAATGTAGACCTCACACAGCATAGCAATAAGCAGAAATGCAGTGTTGTATTCACTGTACCTAATAGAGTACACTGTTAGCTATAATGTAGACTACAGGATACCAATCAGTAACATAAACGAAGTAATATAAGTAGATACTCACCCTCACACAGCGTAGCGATAAGCAGAAACGCAGTGAGGGTGCTCGACGGACCGTATTCAATATATATAGTCCATCCCGACATAAAGGGGTATTGAGCTTGGCCGGCGGGATACGACGGAGCTCCTGCTTGCTAATCCAACAACGATATATCAAATCGTTGCACTGATAGGTCAACAGGGTAGACTTTCTGTACAAAGCGATTAGAATGACAAATCTCGAATCAGGAAATAAACACACCTCAGCGGTTTCGCTGTGCCATGCCATTAACACCACACCATCATTGTTGTTAGTGGCGAGTGCGAACACGGGCAGTCCGGTTATTCCATGAGCTTGAATAAACCTGACAGCGGCCTCTACATAAGCCCTGGCCTGATTCCACGGCGTCGCTGCATCATCAAGGGCCCTCTTATGTTCAACCACAAGGATGGCGAAGAGAATTTTACGACAGAGTTCACTCGTATGTCAGATACATTATGGACGATGGCCATTTTATTCTATGCTTTTCAACGAGGATATGCGACCATGCCTCAACGCTGTGCGGGACAATTTGAGTCGTTTCGTTGGATGTGTTTCAGACCCTTCAAGCTCCTGGAGACTCATAGGACAACCCTTGCATTTCTTTCTGGACCTTGTTTGCCTTGGCCAGGCCGACAAGGCAAAAAGGACAGTGGTGGAAAGCCGTTTTGTCACTGAACTCAGGAAGTTGCTCTCAGGCTACTTTACGAAGGTGATTCCGCGATTCTCAGTCACAGAAATTAAATAATATGAGCTGGATTATCCTTCTTGTCAAAGGTTAGTTTCCTTGTACAACTACATTCTTCTATCTCCAAATATTGTATTTATCTGTGTCTACTTGACGACTTGAAATGTTTAATGGAAACATTTCTTGACAACAAAACTCTTGAAGATATACACTTGTGAGTTCTTCAAGCTTCAAGTCCTGCAAAGCGGTAACCGTCCCAGGAATTGATAAAACAATAAAAATCAGGTAAACTTCCATCGTCCCGACCGCTTGGGGGCATAAGGGGACGTTGCAACCAAAACGGGCCGAAAAGAAGCGTTCTGTCATTATGCATCTGGCTCGGTTGAAATCAAGTTGAAATTCAATTTCGCTAAAGCTCGCATTTATAAAGTGGGACTTTTCCAGGCCATACGCTTCGATAACCTAGTGAACCGGCTTTATGAGATGCTGGCAGAACTCGTTACTGCACAGTGAACGATCGGGCCGAAAATGCGGTCACATGACAAGACGCGTATCTAACTCAACATTCCCACCATCCAGACCCTTGTCAACGACGACGACGATCCTTCCTCCTTCCTCCGCAGTTACTACGACAGATGTCCACGTTGAGCACCCCATCGTCGAAGCCTGCGCGGAGAACACCCTTCACGCCCAGCAAGAGGCCTCTGTCTTCGTCGTCGTCCTCTAGCAGCAGCAGTGACCTCGTGAACCGCCTCAACCGAACAGGATCAAGCTCCTCTGGCACAAGTAACATTCTAGGCTCGACGCACAAGCGCTATAAGGCGCCTGTGTCATCGGAATCGAGGCCAAGGACTTATACGAAGCCTCTCTCGACGATACCCGGGTCGCCACGACCCAAGACCCCATACGAGAGATCCAAAACGCCGACGTTCGAGGATTCACCGACGAGCAAGATGGACGTCAGTAATGTCGACCCTGAAGCGGTCCTCGTGGATTCGGAAACTGTCGAGGCAGACGTATCTGCTGAGATGGACGAGGCGTGGTTGAGGACGATGAGTGCCGACCATGGGAAGCGAGACAAGGTCATGGTCTCTATCAGGCGTGTATTTTTTTTTTGGCATCTCTGTTGATATCAAGCCTGATCCTGTTCTAGGGTGCGACCTTCGAATGTAGACTCGGCATGGATTGCGTCGTCGAGCGCCAGTTCCATTCATCTCGATCCCGTCCATGCAAAGTCTGGCGCTCCGAACCCCGCGGAGAACAAATTTGACTTTGACTCTGTACTCACTGGCTCACCGAATAAACCTATTTATAGCACCGTCGCTCAATCGCATGTGTATGCCGCTATGGAAGGATACAACTCTGTCATCTTTGCATACGGACAGACCGCTTCAGGGAAGACGTACACCCTCTCTGGTGATGAAAGTGAACCCGGTATCATTCCCCGTGCCATGAAGGATGTTTTCCGGTTCATCAAGCGAAATGAGGAGAGGGAATATCTCCTTCGTTGCTCCTACCTCGAGATCTACAACGAGTCCATCCATGATCTCCTCGCTCCCGTTGGCAGTCCGGCTGTGATGATCCAAGGAGGAGGGAGCGAGGTCATCTTGAACCCCCTCCGCGAGGAAGTTGTGACGAGCTTGAAGGGTGTCAAGGATGTGTTGAAGCGCGGGGAGAGCCATCGACGGACGGCTTGTACGGACTGGAATGAGAGGAGCAGTCGGAGTCATAGTGTTTTCCGGCTGGTGATCGAAAGTAGGGAGCGTGGTGAAGCCTTGGACGAGTCGTTCCATGGACGAGTGACTCCAGCGCCGAGTGGAAGACAGACACCTGGTGTGAGCGGGAGGCAGACACCGGGTCATGGTGCCGGTGGTAAGCCTGGTCCGAAGCTGCAAGCGAGAGGTGGAAGGAGTGTGCAGACGTCTGTTTTGGTGAGTTTCTTTTTTACTTGCTCCATGATTCTTGCTAATGACGTCCTTTCCAGAGTCTTATTGATCTCGCTGGTTCAGAAAAAGCGACGAGTGATAAAGAGCGTACAAGGGAAGGGAAGTATATCAACACTAGGTTGGCCTTACCTTTCTGCTCTGATATATTTGCTGATTATCATTAACTACAGTTTGTTGACCCTTGGTACCGTCATTGGAACACTCTCGGAAAATGTCGCCAAAGGGAAGAGGTACGTTCATCGTTATTTGAAACTTATTTTTATTGATACTGCCGCCTCCTCTGTCTCGTTTTTCTTTCCTCTTTCCCTGCCCTAACTGACCCTCATCTGTATAGTGATCATGTTCCTTTCCGAAACTCAAAGCTTACCCGAATGCTTCAACCATCGTTGTCTGGCAATGCCCGCATCAGCGTCGTTTGCACGATCAATCCTGATATCAGCGCTATCGCAGAAAGCACGAGTACTCTCCTCTTTGCGAGACGCATCAAAGGCGTCAAGGTTCGACCTTATCGCTGGGTTTGGCTTTGGGTACTAATGCTGTGTTTCAGCTCAACGCTCAAAAGAAGGAGATCGTCGATACAGACGCGCTCATTGAACGGTACAGGAAGGAGATTGAAGACCTCAAAGCCCGTCTTGCAGAGAAGGAGGCCGCTGTTGGTGATCGACGCCAGTCTTCGTCGGTGTCGGTGAAACGAAGGCTATCAGTAAAAGAGGTATGCAATTACCTTTTACTGCTTCCTTATTGCTAAGAATTCTTTGTAGAAAACGGACGAATCAAAAGCCATGAAGGATCTGAATACCAGAATCCAGCAGCTCACGAAGCTGATCCTGACGAGTCAGACGGTCGATGAGTCATCTGCAGACTCGAGGCCAGGAAGTCCTGTCAAGATCGACTTTGATATGTCTCCTTACCAGGTATGCTACTAATTCCTTCCTTCCTTCACATCTCACTCCTTTCTCATAGCTCCAACAAGAGCTTCTCGCTGCCCGTCTCCAGCTTGAATCGCAAGCGACACAGATCCTGTCTCTTGAAGCCGCTCTGGAAGCACGTCCGCCCATCCCACCAGAGAACGAGAGGGACAAGATGATCGCAGACCAAGCCAAGGTGATCAAGGAGCTGGAGATCGTGGTGAGAGGGTACGAGAGTAACCTCGGGGAACCGCTGAGGGCTGTTAGGGAGGATGTTGAGCGGGAGTGGATGGGAAAGGTTGGCGACGAGGTTCGGAAGAGGGAAGAAAAGGAGCGGTGGGCAGACGAGTTGGTAAAGCAGTTGGAGAAAGAGAAGCATGTATGGAATTTTGGTTATTGTTTTCTTTTTACCTTGAGTTGACGACATGCGGTAGATGCGCATCAAAGTGGAGGACCAGGCTCGAGCTCTGACCGCATTTGTGACGAAGCTGGATGCTCTTGGCTTGGGTGGGCTGTCACTGGGGTCGATAAATAAGGAGAATGAATCTCTTGGATCGCCTGGGAAGGGAGAGAAGTATGTGAGCCTGCTGGATCAGGTCCCCGAGGAAGAATGGAGTATGACTGGGGATTTCAGTTTTGAGATGGAAAAGGTGCCGGCCATGAAAAGGGAGCCTTTTGGGGGGAAGGAGAATGTTGCGTTGTAAGGAGGGTGCGTCCCGGTTTATGCTTTACTATTTGACCACATGCTGGTTTTCTAAATGCCAAACTCTACGATCTATGTGTATTATTGTACATCTACTGCATGAGCGTCACGCGGCGTCTAGTAGTCGCATTTCATCCCGACTCTCATGTCCGGCAAAGACCTGGGACCCCCAAATCTTGGGTTCATGAAATGCGAAACTTGCTGGAGACAACACCAGCCGTTTCTTGATACGTCCGGTTACCGACTTCTTCCCAAGTTTGATCCAGCTGGAAGCCACTATAGAAGACCAATTATGAGATGTTCCAGAGCGAAGGGAGGGCGCTTCATTCTTGTCAGTGGTATATTCGTTCGCTTTCGTTCGACTCACTCGCTCATCGGATACTAGTCACCTTGCGTTATGGATGCAACGCGAGTCCGAGACGGGAGGCAGGTGATGCTAAAACAAAGTCTCCCAAGTCTGAATTTCGGTTGGAAGTCGAATTATCTGTCTTTCTTTCTTCCCCTCCGCCTTCGGAGGATTCGCATAATCACTGTGCACCGATCTATGATGTATTACAGTCTCCACATGACACGGACTATGAGATCCTTGTCATGCCTTGGTTGCGCAAGTTTCTTTCGCCTAGTTTCGACACCGTTGGAGAACTCGTTGAGAGCTTTCGACAAATTCTGGAGGTATCGTTCACCTCGTTCCATTATATTCTGATTGTTTTCAACTAATACGTACACAAGGGAGTCGAGTCTCTGCATCGCCGTTCCGTTGCTCATCAGTGGGATAAGTTTCGGTTGGTTACTTCTAGGGATCTGACAATTTGAATATCATGCTTGATGCTAGCGATCTCTATCCGAAAAGGTTTCATCCCGCCAAGCCTCGAAGGAATGCAACTTTCACCGGATCGGCAAAACACATCACTCGCGCAGAGTGTTGGCCACGTTATTTTTTTATAATCGATTTTGGAATGTCCCGTCGTTATGTACCTCCAGAGATACCATACGATCCTGTCTTGAACTGTGGCAATCATTATGTTCCGGAATGCATTGGTTCGAAAGAGGGTGACCGTTGCAATCCATTTAGGAAATATGTTGGAGGAGTATTTCCGTGTGGTTAGGACACATTTATTAGTGTTCAATGATGATTTTTCTCCCTAGCACAAATACCCGCCACTACAATTCCTTGTCCCTCTCGTCGATGATATGATTCAAAAAGAACCATCATTACGACCGACTTTTGCAATTCAGATTGATGTTTTCATCAGAAACCATGAGATTGAGCTGCTATTTAGGATGAGAAGCCATGATATGGATGATTTGGATGTAAAGCTTAAGAATAGAAATAGTAATGGTAATGGAAGCACACAAAAAAATAGCCAACATGAGGTGCTGTGGCAGTATGAGAATAATGGCTCAGCCACCCAGCATGGTAACATGGTTACTCGATCTTAGTGACCTGCCCCTTTGGAATCCCACTGGAGTCTCCACATTCTCTATATGTCTCATCCCTAATTTTTATCACAGGCTAATGGTTATTGGTTTGATAACAGAAAATCAGTGTCCTCAACTCTGATATACAGGCTATATACACTGAACAGAGGAAACAGAAGATTGAATCTAAGGAAGATATTGGGAGTTGAGATCTTGTTGTTTTTGAACTGCCATGGCTACATCTTTACTGAGTTCATCAGGCAGTGCAATAATCTATGTATTTGTATCTATGATACTGATTTAAATCCATGAATAGACTAAGCATCCTATTACAGCAATTACTTGCTCCTACCATCTGTTGGTTTTAAAACACTTTAAGATGATCTATAGAAGTACAACTCAGAAGTTGCAATAAGATCTCTCTTGGAGAATTAGGCCAATCATATTGCTGCTCTTACAGATCATTTGTTATAAGTCATCTAAGTTAGTGTTTCACATGAAAGTGCACTCTTGCTGCTAGCTGGACTCAGTTCCTTATCACAACAAGAACATCTAACACTGTGCCTCTAACTGGGAGTTATGAATATGCCAATGCCAGTCTAGGACATTCACTACTATCTCATAATCAGATTGCTGAATGCTGTTTGATATCAGAAATAAGACTCACCTCACTATTCACCATAGTATTTAAGATGATCTTAATATGATAATCATTGTTGCAGTGCAGCAGATTTTTTGCTGTGCTACTGTATGCTATATAATAAGGAAAAGTAGTTGTATTACATTCACAGACTACTCCCTCATTTGCCCTTTCACATTTCATCTGGACTTTCTTGATGTCCAATCAGACTGACACTGATAGAGATGTTATACATCAAATTCTTGATGTTGAACTGAATTCAATGATACTCTTCTCTCTACTGAGTGGTATGTATATTTATTTGTTCAGATACATGTATTTAATCAGAGCTTTACACAGGATTATATACTGGAATTATTGCTGTCACACTGTGGAATGTCTGTGAGAAGAACATTCTAACTCTACTATGCTTTAAAAGCTGAAGTGAATGGCACAGTTATGAACAAATCCCAGCACATCAGACAAGTTGGCATCACCATTGTTATAACTCTCCTCTACATTTTTACCATTATCAACTTTGCCCTTGCTTGGTCATTCATCCATTCTATTTTTATAGACAATGGACAAAGCTTTTGGACAGCATATATGTTTTCTCAGAGTCCTATAGCAATGATAATGATTGGTACAGGCACAACAGGTATTATCTGTACTATTCTAGCAGATTCTGTTATGGTGTGTGTGACAATAAGAATTTTTAATGCTGCTTACCATTATTCCAATATAGATTTGGCGCTGTTGGATAGTCTGGAGTCAGCACTGGTTGAGCATTCTGCCTCCTGTACTTTTTCTTCTTTCTGCAACTGGTAAGATCTCTCTGATCTCTTAGGATTGGCTAATTTATACAATAATTTTCACAGCATTCAAAATTAATTTTCTCTATCAAGACTATATAGAGACCAACTATGAAGAGTACATCATTAGTGATGTACTCTATTCATCTTTTGTTCTTGCAACAACATTGTGGTGCACAGTGCTCATCATCTATCGTATCATCACTGTTATACAAGCAGGAAGTCAAGCAGATGGAATCAGAGCTTACCACCACATCATTGAAGTCTTTATGGAATCATCAGCTCTTTATTCTATATGCTTGATTCTATACATAGCCTTTTTCTCTCATAATTCTGCTATAGCAGTATACTTTGAATTTCTAGCAGTAATGACAAGAGTATGTTTATAATCTTTTTCAGTCTTTATATCTGACAAACATCATATAGGGAATTGCTCCAACACTTCTTGTTGGGCGTGTTGCAGCAGGTCATGCTCATCCAGATGATTCTTGGCAGAGAAGTGTGATTTCAGGCTCACTTCACTTTGGAACACATTCTGGAGACCAGACTTCTCAGCAAGATTCTATGATCAGCATTGATCTTGAATCTCAGCAGGGGATAGATGATAAGTATGGCCATCAGAATCTTGCATATTCTGGAGAAGATAATGCCTATAATAGTGGCATCCAAGAGGATGACTCTGAGATGGTCCAGCAGGAGAGAGATATCATATATTCTCATCACACTCTGGCAGAATCTCAGACAGATGTTGGCATCAACTCAGAAGATGTCATCTGTGAAGATGATTCTGAGTTACAGAGAGAGAGAGATGAAGGACATGGCTATCATATGTTGAAAGGCTTCAGAGAAGATATTAGCATCAAGAGCATTATCTCTGAGGCTCAGGTAGCTCTAGCTGGATAGATAAAGGAAGCAATTTCAATAAGGATGATATCCTTAAGGCTCAGCTAGATAGATCAGAGTTCAATTATACTAAAGAATTGATAAGCATGTTTTATTTATGGATCCATATTATTTATTTTCTATATATCACTTCAGTTCTGACTTTAGTCTCCTGTTGTGCCTGCATTTCTATCATCATATATGTAGTAAGTGGATGTAGTCATATCTATGAATATCAGTTACTAAGTGTTATTAATAAAAATAGACAGACAATAAAGCCAATATAATACACACCAAATAAGAAATATATTCAGTTATTGCCTATAGCTTCAACATATCTTACAATCATGTAAGCACAGTTTTTATAATAATAAATGCCCTACAAATACAAGACTTGCTCAGCTCATATTTGTCTCTTTCATCCTGTGATAATCCCAGATATATTTTTGACCATTTCTTTATAGACCAGCACCAAGACCTGTAACATCTAAGTGACAAAAAATATTTAGCATCTTATGAGCAGCTATGACTGAATTATCATGAAAGCCAAATGATTCATGATCAATGGAGTGGGAATCAATAGTTATATGCTGATTCTGCTGAGATAAATGTTCATATACAAGCCTTCTTATATTATTACAGCTGGCATATAGAATAATATTAAAGCAGATATAAAGGTGAATATAAAAGTCAAGTTCAGTTTATTGTCCTCTTCAGGAGTTGAGATCTTATTGTTTTTGAACTGCCATGACTACATCTTTACTGAATTCATCAGACAGTGCAATAGTCTATGTCTCTGTATCCATGTCAATACTGATTTAAATCTATAAATAGACTAAGCATCCTTGTCAGATGACAATATCATGATTTTAGCCTCTAAATCATGCCTGGCCAAGGCTTGGTTTGAGATCACCAAGACTTTTCTATACAGTATTTAAGTCAGTAGTATATAGTGATACACTCTAGTCTCAAGCTAAGATCAATATACCAATCAAACTCTTAAACTCTTGGTGTGACTACCACTTCAGTACTAACACTGATAGCCAAAGACTTGGTATATTGTCATATAATACTGTCTTAAATACTGTCTGTGAAAACCTTTTGCCCTACAGATGACTATTGTCCCATTGTCATATCTACTACTTGTTGTTTAATAACTGTGCAACTCATTGGCAGGGGTATTACTTGCACAAGCTCATCACTCCTGGAAACAATGCTTTTTTTCAGCACAGGTGGCAGCTGAAGCATATTGTTATCTTGCACTCATCTCTTCCTATTTTGAAATTTCCTGTGTCTCCAGCAATTAATCACCATCTTTGGCCTTTCTGTACTCTTACTCCAAGTGCAGCTCTGCTTAATATGATGCAGTGAAGTTTAGAGAGTACAACCAATAAACAATATATTTGTACCACTGTTACTGACAGGAAATATCATGCAGATGAACTATCCCTAGTGTGAAGCATTGAGATCCAATAAAACTCTGTGAGAAATGCAAGCACTGATAGGTCTACAAGTAGAAGTGGATGCACAAGAATGAGTACAGTGTACATCCAGTGAGTGGGCAACATATTGTATGCAAGTATCAGAATCCTAATTTTTTTTGAGTAAGTAATATAGAGTATTATGAACATACACAGTCAGTCCAATCAATTGATTTTCTATAATATCAGTGCCCAGAGTGTAATCTTATATAGAAGATACTTCCAGCATCACAAAGGAATAGAGAAAATTATGAACAAGCCAAGAAGAAATGTTCATATTTTAGACCTGAGGTCACTAGCATGACAAACTTGAGTTCTAGTGCCTTTATCTTGCAAAGGAGAAAGAGCATACCTCAAACCAGAGCCTTTGTTACTAGCACTGCTAGGTCTCTCTGTAATAGAAACATTGAAAACTGTGATGAGACCATCTGCAGTGTTCACTGCACTATCATTGGACACAGATTGATTATAGTTGATACCAATGCTAGTGTTTGGTAGGAGTCCCATAACATATATGATATCAGTCTTGTATGTATAGCCCTGAGAGGATAATGACCCAGAAAATGATGTAGAACCAGTTAGGGACAGTGTAGGTATTTTGGAGCTGATAATGTTGCTGACAGCATAGTGTTATGATTTCTCCTTTTTTCTTTTCTCTTCCACCCCTATTCATGCTTAGTCAAAAGGCATGAGACCATAGGAAAAGCTTAGCTCAGCACAACTAGGTCACCCATCAGTCGTCTCAACAATCAAGTCCAACAATGCACAAGCATCCCTTTTATATACAGTAATGATGCTCAAGGACAATGGGCACTATGGACACAGAAACGCACAATTAGTAGTAGTATTATTAGAACCATCCGCACAATATTTAAGACCAACAGCTCTTGCTGGAATACCCCAGCTTCAAGCTAAAGTTTATATACTCTCATTCTACTCTCGAGCTATTCCCTACACCTTGAAACACTCAGGACTGTCGCTGCGTGAACTCTGATGGAAGGCTCGAATGTGAAGCCACATTGGTTTATCATGTGTCAGTCCATCACGTGTTGCTTGAGCCTAACACATAGTTGCAGCCAAGGTTATATCTGTTTTCAATGATATTGTGCTGGTCACTTGAGGATGTTTTATAAGATATAGCCAAGAAAATAGCACCACTAAAAAAGAAATTCAGATCAGATACAGCAGCTGGACACTGAACTGATGCATGAGCACTCACCTGTCAGCCTCACTACTGTTCTGAACCCAGTACTGAAAGTGGTCATCCCTCTTGAATGACTCTGTGCAAGACCCCAAGGCAGGATCACCATAATTATACTGCATCACAGCTGTTTCATTTTCTTTGATAAAATATAAACCTCTGCATTATTGTAAAAAGACACCACCCAATTGAAAATATATGGAAACCATTGCTGTCTCCCGAATCAACTTGCTGTGAGTTACTGGTATGTTGATCTAAGCATTCCCCAGAAAATGGTAAAGATATGTTTTTTCAAGTAGGAATGAATGGGACATGCAGTGAGTAGAATGCAAGAATTTTTAGAATCCAGTCTGTAGATAAACTCAGTCTTTTGTATGTCATAGCATAACAGACTGAGGCATCTGTACAAAAAGTACTCTACTTATATACTAGACTAGTCCCAGTGGCACTAATTGCCACTGCCCTAAAAAGGTACAATAATCCGAGACAATAGGCAGTAAGAACAATGAGTGTCCTCAGTGCCTTATTTACTTTGTTTGATGACCAACAAGAATTACGGAAAATAGTTCATTAGACCTCTGTCCATGCTTTGCTGTGCAAGAACAGCTTGGTCGGAATTTCCCGATATAATAGCATTCACCGGCTCCCGTTGGCCGTCTGGATGCGTCTGAGGTACAACCTTCTGCGCAGACTTTGAGCCATAGGTTCATTGCTTGAATCCTGGGACTTATCTCTACCGTTAGCATAGATCCCCCACTGTCGGCCGGGTTGTAATAGCCTGCAGAGGGCACACCACGCTCGGAAATCTCCTTAGATAGGATGAACGATGCAAGATACAGCGAAAGGAGCAGAATTGTCGCCTTTGTCATGGAGGTAGAAGGCAGCAGTGCCAGTTGGCAAAAAGTTCGCAGGGATAGCATTGATATACAATTTCATTCCGGCGGCAGGCCGCCTTTTGGGATATGACGCGAAGCTGTGTCGGTGGACTATCTGGCACAATGCATGGCAAGCGAGACACTAATGCAGAGAATATTGTAGAAAGCATCCTTGTCTGTATGTTGTTGGAGCAGAGGAAAGCGTGAAATGATCGATCGTCGGGGATGATGTTTGTTTCTGACACGTGTCTTCGACACGCGCGACGGGGGCCGCGGTACGCCCAGTGCTTCTGGTTCAAGCTTTTTCTGAATTTTTTAAAAATTTTATTTAGCTACGGCAGAAAACCCCTCATCTCTCCTCTGAATAGGACATCCAGCAAGATACAACAACCACATTCAACACTCTACGCAGCATTGTAGTGTGAGGAACAATGGGTTTACTATGGCACTGACAAGTTAATAGGATCTCTGCGATACGCTATGGCTGCAGCAACTTCATGAAAGATACAGCATCAATTCTGCTCTTCACCTCAACCCGGAACAAGGACCGACTTCTCAATACCGGAAACTGGTCCTCTATCCCCTGCTGCAGCGCATCCATGGACTTGGCCTGCATCGGGGTGCAAAACAGCTGAAAAAGCAAACTCCGAAGCCGAGATCTCGAGGCCGATAGGGTAGCATCCCACGCTGACCAAACCCCATAGTCCATATGGCCAAAGAGACTGGGGCTTGACACGACGGTACGCACAACGATCTCCTCCACCTCGCTGGCGCGTTTATCAAACAATTTACCCCACGACTTGATCGTCGAGGAGTGGCGTTCGTTGTATATGGGGTGGGAGAAGGTGATGGTAACTTTTCGGAGACAGGAGATGTTGAGGTTGTCCAATAATATTGGGCGCAAAGCTGGATATGGATATGTGAGACGCGGGTCGGCAACTGTCAGATGAACATACATTGATGCATCAGATGAACTTCCTCCAGTGTGCAGGACGCCATTTTCAGGATCGCACTGACAAAGGGAATATCCGAGCTATCTTGCAGGGAGATGGAAAAGAGGCGGAGATGACTGAAGGAGAGGCCACTAATTCTCGGGTTTAGCATAAGGTCACTCAGCTGGGAACTAAACGCCGAGGACGAGATAGAAAAGCTCTCGAGGTGGGATAATCGCGCCGGCAATTCATATGCAGTATTAATGGAAGCCAGAGATGGCACTGAGAGCAATTCAAGACGACGTATACGAGGATGTAGGTGAATGAAGGTGAGTGCTTCGGAGACAGAGGCGTAGATGCTGTGGTGGAAATCAATGGATAGGGAGCGAAGAGAGGGAAATGATGACACGTTCTGTTGGTTGACCAGTTCAGTGATCCAGAAGATCCAGGAGACATCCTTCATCGCGAGCGTTTTGACATTGGTGAGTGAGGATATGATGAAGGTGATTATATCGTCTGGGGGCACGTAACAACTATTCAATGTGAGATGTTTGATCACCCGAGGAATGTGCGGGGAGGAACGGCACATGGCGACAAACTTGTCGCAGGGAAAGTTGCGGCTAAAAACCATATTTCCGAATATGTGTATACGTGTACGGGTGTAGAATGCATGGGAGGTGAGAGAGCATGATTTGAGTGCAGTTGGGTCGTCCCACAAATAGTCAATTACGGAGTCAGTCAGCTCTTGCGGAAAGACGCCATAATGAAAGGCACTCAAGGACATCCGAAAGTTGGCAGGGAATTATCAGCTAACAAGATGGACGCTACCGGCTGGGGATGTGGTCTGTTGAAGGGAAGGGGGGGTGACGAGACTGGTGTCTATGTGGATATTAGGAGAGAGGAAGAGCCGACAGTTCACACAGAAAGTGATCACGATCCTTTCTTTTATGAAGGCGTGAAAGACATTCCCAGACCAAAAACTAGTGTCTGAGATAGACCTAGACCGTTTCATTTGTTTAGACGCCAGAACAGCGAACCCTAGTAAACCCTTAACAAGTTTCTACGGTCGATCCAAACAATACAATCATAGAAAAATTCCACAACCGTGGTCAGTCGAACATAATAGAGAGGGATAGCACTCGGTGGGTCCTACGTGTCGAGTCCCGAATGAAATGTGTACTTGGTATGATGGAAGCGGCCGGACGTAATCCCATCGCAAAAAGCCCTTGAAACTGCTGCCGATAAGCCTCATCACAGGGGGGGGTAAACAGAGTTACCAACATGCGGCGTGATCGTCCACATGTCACTGTCAAGTTAAATTTTGCGAGTAGACGGGTATTTACATGAACGCCGGAATGCCGATAGCACCGACCGTCTCCCCAGAAAGTCATGCGTGAGATGGAAAGCGTGGTTAAGGAAAAGGCTCAGGAGAGGTGGTATATCGACAAAAGCAGCATCATGATGATAAGAGTTGAGGATGGTCTACCATGACGTTGGCCTTTCATGATCCATGAGAAGCACAGACTCTCTGCGTAGAAGCAGAAGAGGGAGGGGTAGCGAGTCGAAATGTGAAATTGGGCGTTAAGAAACATTTCAGAACAAAGCGTGGACCGAGCTGCATAGCCATTTCACTCTGGCACCAGTTGTGCTTTGAGTGACTGTTAGCCACCTCCCAGAAGACGGAACCTTAAAAATATGCTCTATGGCTTGTTAGGTAGCCCAGCCAAGTTTCGCTTCGTAGGTTCTGATGCGAGAAGGTCCGCGGGATATCGGTGACACTGGAAGAGGCCGGACTCGATGTAGATGGTAGATGCAGTAACGGTTCATCCCGGTAAAATATAGCTTTGCCGTAGATCCTAATCCTTGACGACCTTCGGGTCACAGTACACGTCGAATTTTCACAGGACATAAGAGGGGGCTGCTTGATATCGGCCTTGTGGTGGAGCTGATACCGGCGTCCTCGACAAAGCCGGTGGTGTATCCCAAGCTCGCAACGTCCGTGTACGGCGGGGCTGGCCCCCAATACGAAATGTATGAGCTTAGTATCCTTAGTACAATGGTCACACAGCGTACCTGCGTTGCCGAAGCCCTTCTACCCGAACCCTTCTTTCCGTCCCTTCGCCTAGGTCGATCTCGCTCTTCTTCTGGAGCTAGGTCAGAACTTTTCAGTGCTCGCCCTGCATGATAGAGCTGGTAACCGATTTTGGGCCCGGTCGCGAGAGAACAGATCATGGAGGCATCAATGATGGGGGTAGGAGACAACAAAGGCTCCGTGATCGTCCCATCTTTTCGTCTTGAACCACCCCCCCTTCCTTTCGAATTCCGTCTTTCGTGACTTTCGAGAATTTCTCGAATCGTCAGTAGTCTGGCAGTTTCAATGCTACACGGGCATCCTCTTACTAAAATCTGTCGGAATGTAGAAGGAAAAAAAAAACTGATGCAGAAAAGTAGTATCTGAGCCATGTGCGTCTACATATATTTGCTTTTGCCTTCAATAGCTCAGCTAAATCATCGTCCGGCGTAATCACACATATCTACAGAACCGATTTCTTGCATTACCCAATCTTCGTATATCGCCGGACTAGTCGAAGCCCTGTTATCATAATTACGGACACTGGATTGCTTTGGCGCCGTCGGACGCACACAGGCCCGGGGACCATCAAGACTTGGACTAGAGCTGGCAGAACATGGATATGTTGAGCAGTGGTACTGAGAGGATATTTCAGATCTAGGCCTGGCGGCTGAAACTCAGGTCTGTTACTCTTTATTTCGAGTCATTGATTGCGTTGTTTCAGCCATCGGCGACGCGACTGTCGCAATCTCTACAAAGCTCTCACTCTGAAATTCGGGGTACATAGCGACTTTCACTCGGTCGCTACGATTAAGGATGAGCGGACTAGGAGGCGAAGCGAGGCTTATTTCTCGCAATGGCGTGCATCCTGTCTGTATAGGCAGTTTATATTCCAAGGGCTCCGGGTGACCACGCCATTCGAAAGAAACGAAGAGCTATCGCGAAACACATTCAAATGTCATGGAAACAATTTCATTGACGTTTGCCGTCGTGTCCGGGGTTTCAATGATAGCGCGGAGCACCGCCGGCGTCGTAGAGGTGTCGTTGGCTTCCCTTCTACATCCTTACGTTCTACCTCCTTCGCCTCTGCCTTCGTAAGCCGTATCTTTAGTTGGCAATGCACAGCTCTTAGTTCCAGCTACTACTTATATGCACAATTTACATGATCGTGTATTGCCCCTAACTTTTCGACTCTTTCTCCCTGCTTGTTGTGTCTTTCCCGCAGTGAGCAACCCAAGTTCCTCCTCTCCGAACAAGAATATGAACGCGCCTTTCCCCTTCGACGACTCTGATCCCACATCAGATATCCTTCTAATATCACCTGATGGTGTTTATTTCTACGCTCACAAAAACATCCTTTCCCTTGCGTCTTCCTTCTTCCAAGACTTAATTCCTTTAGTCCAAGATCCGAGCGATGGCTCCTTGCCTGTAGTCGATCTGACTGAAGGAAGCAAAACCATCGACAAAATCCTTCGTTTCTGCTACCTAATCCCCGATCCTTCTTTTGCTGACGTATCCGAGGTCTACCAGGTCGCAGAAGACACGCACAAATACCTCATGAACGACGTAACAAGGCTTCCCAGTCAACTGAGGAAGTTTATCGATATATGCCCATTGCATGCCTCTGTCGTCGCTTGCAAGCTCAATTGGAAAAGGGAAGTTGACATTGCAGCGAGCAAGGTGCTGGCAGAGCCCCTATTCTCCCACAAGGAAGACATGCCGGAGCTCGACCTCCCTTCCCTCAGGATCCTTTATCGCTTCGCCCAGTTCCACGAACGGCGCATGAGCGTCATCCGATCCGCGTTTCTCGATAGGCTGGATAGAGTCCATGTCATGTGTACCGTCTACTTCAAAGGGCCGGCCTGCGATAGGCATGATATCTAGGACGACACTCTCAGTTTCCTCACCCGCTTCCGAGGAAATCATACCTTCTCCAATACGATGACCCTCCTCAAGGTGATGCTCTTGTCTCCAACCGTGGAGACTTTGGATTCAGCAGACGGGGATTCTAGGGAATCTGCGCGTACCACCTATCTCTAAGTGTAGAAATCGTTACGTTCCGGAATATATTGGGTCGAAAGAGGGTGACCGATGCAATTCATTTCCCACTGATATATTTTGCTTGGGGAACATGTTGGAGGAATATTTCTGTGTGGTTGGTAAACATTTACTGGTAATCAATGATGTCGGCATTTATTCCTTTCCTTCTCAGCATGAACACCCACAACTTCTGTTCCTTGTTCCTGCTGTCGAAGATATGATTGTGACCCACATATCAGTAAGACCGTGCACCGCTTTGCTGTTCTGTGAAACTCGTTGACGAACCATCAATTGTGTAAACCCGCAACTCCTAGAGCCAATTCTTTCAGACAGGTTCATTAATAGCATCGAAAGATGAGCGTGCGAAGACACATGTCAGAGGTGGAGAGGGTGGTGTCATGTCTAGAGCAGTCTACCACACAATAGGTTATCATGTCTAAGATGGAAAAGCGGTGATTTTTTGCAATTGGCAGCTGTTTCTGTTTGAGACCGTGACTACTTGAGTTCGCAAAGTTCGCAAAATAATTTAAAAATAGCCACGCTCGAAGCAATGGCGCGACCTAAGTATTGACTTTGATGTCATGAGAAACGCGCATGAGTACTCAAAGAGAAACTGAGATATACGTATATGTTTCCAAAAGCATAGGACAGGGTCACAGAATTGGAAGTTCATAGGTGAATGAATATACACGATCAAAGCTCTCGAACTATCCGCTTCACATCAACGCTTGCCATGAACCTCTCGTAGGGTTGCGGCGTCGTAATATCTCAATTCCGGAGAGCACGAGCGAGCGATAAAGGAATGGACTCGGTCGTGATAGAGCTTCATCTGCATGATGTATCCTCGTAGAAAGGACACGGACAACGCCGCGCCAGAGAGGATCGACCGGTCCGGTGACCTGAAATTCGGCAAACCACTGTCATCCGTCCGTCGTTTTTCTTTTCGGCTCAAAATCGACGCTACAGCGGAGACGGCTGTATTCCATACCGAAAGCCATCAAAGTGCGCATTTTCATGCTCATACTGCAAATGGATCGCTTAAAACTGTTCTATAGACAACTTCCGAGGCGATGCTGGATTATTCGTATTTAGATGTTTCGCGGAACGGACCATCGGGCCTCTTCCCCAGGAGGGAGAAGTTCGGCATAAAAGGCACGGGCATAACTCTGAAAAGCACCGTATACGCAGCCTATAAAACCCTCGTCAGGGCGATGTCAAAGAATGCTGTAACGAAGAGAATATACCAAAATCGACGGCCAAACCAAACATTTCTCTTTGAGATGTCAGCCCACCAAAACTTGTCCTACCCTGAAAGACAAATCCAAGGCATCCGTACGCAGGTATGGCGGAGCAAAGGATGACAAGGATGATGAGAATTTTGAGGTTTGACAGAAACTTGCGCTGGATCATAGGCCATAACAGAGATCCAAGTATCCCAGTGCATGGCGTCAACACTCCGATCAATATGAGCGCTGAAGGCCGCATATTCAACGACGTTTTGCAAAAAAGAATTGCAGTGAAGGTTATAGTCGTAAACCCTAAAGAAGACTTACTCAGACTCATAGCTACATCGCCAACACCCCACGTACCATCAGAAAGCAAAAACCACGCCGCCAAGTACTTGAATGTGTTGCGGAGTTTCTTGATTTCCTGCCAGCATAGCATACCACCTAAGCGTTTCCAGGCTGCGACGACGTCAGTTCGTATGCTCCGTTTACCGTCAGTGATATCCGAGCTATCGATCCATATAGCACTCTCGGAGGCTCCCGAGGTTGCCAAAGCAGTGGGATCAGGCAGCCACACAGCAGCGGGAATTGAAAAGACGGCCCACCGTATTCCACCCAATCCGATGGTTAAACGGAGGGAGAAGGTGCTACCTTTGAGCTTCGTCACAGGTATCAGGGCTACTAGCAATAGACATATGGCAGCGCCATACCCAAGAGCTATGCCCAGGGATGAGATACGAGAGGTAGCCCAAGAAAGCTCGTTGTCATAGCGAACTCGTAGTTCTGAACTTTCCGCTCGGTTCCTTGATATAAGGGGCTCTTCAACGCCTTCGGTGTGCGCTTCAGATGCGGTACGGCCATTATCAACAAGCTCCGAGTCTTCGGCGTCCTGGCTGGTTTCAAGTTGTAAACACAGCTCAGCCACTTCCGGCGAGTCCCTTGCTAGAGATGGCAAATATACGTTCATGGCAACGACAGAAACGCCAAACCCTACGTTAGCGCATATTGCCAGAAATGCAGAAAGAAACCATAACGGCGAAGATGATGGTAGTATCAGGAAGAGAACTGCGGCGAAAGCTCCCTGTAACGCAAAGGTAAGGAGAAGCCGTTTGCGATGGGCCGCTGCCCACAGAAAGTCAGATATGGGGGATCCAAGGAGCTCATGGATGCACACAATTATCAGCGATGCCTCCCACAGAAATCACCGTCAACGCTTGGAGTGCGACGGATATCGAGTACACGTAGAGACTTAAGATAAGATATATCAGGATCGTTTCATTTCAGAAAGTCGCTGCCCACGCACCTGAAGCTAGCGGTATCTATCCACAGAAATCCGAGTTTCACTATACATCTCTCAGGGGAATCATTCACGTGCAGAATTTTTGCCACTGTTGAGCATGGGGTCGTTCTGTCGGGCAGTAGAAATCCCTACCGAACGATGAGCGGCAAGGAAAGTTATCCCGCGAGTAGACGCACGTTATCTCGTGCAAATTGCTCTAGAAATATCGGTAAAAACAGCGTCAACGATACGATGACGAATACTTTGCTACCATGTAGGAACATCAGCGCTACAGTACTATTCGGTGACCATGACTTACCTTGCGGAAGCATAGCTCAGCCATCCGTGAAGTCGTTTCTTAAATTCTGCTGCACTCAACATGGCAGTACCACGCTGCATTCAAGACGTAACTCCCTTCGCGGTAAAGGAAGGAAGCACGGCAACCCTAACACAGTAGTATCCAAACTCCCGATAATCCATCGCTACCGGAATTACGGCGATGTTTATCCATCCTTGCCAGGTGGCTGGTCAACATACCATCGAATGGAGGGTAGGGCAAGAAGCAAAGTGCATCGGAGGTGCACATGGTAGATGAAGAATGAATTCACTTGAAGATTCATTGGTGGCAGACCCGGGCCGGTACTATCAGCAGATGAGGTTAGGGTTCGGATGCAGCAGTGGCTGGCGCACTGGCAAAGCGAGTTGCCCTTGTGCCGCATATCAGTTTCCAAGTTCTCTATCCACAGATGAAATTCTGGCACCTTTTGCTTCTAATGCAGAAAGATCTGAACATAGACTCATGAAGGAAGCAGTATACCCCTTTGATCTTACTTACCTTATATATATTTGATATATATATATCTACCACCTCCTGTCTCTACTCAATCACTATAAGGCCTTGCCATAGTTACCTGTGTACCTCATGCTATTGTTGTGCCCCACTGAGGTATGTATACCTTACAGTGTTTGCTTATTGTATTACTCACTCTTGTTCACAGTACTTACATATATTCCTCTGATATTATACTAGGGTAGGCACTAATTGCCCTGATATTTTGACTCTGCTATATGTGTGGAATCCTTCCATGATGCCACTGACTTTGAGGATGCAGTAAATAATGAAAATCATGCATCATAGTAGGGTAGCCAATATGAGTGAAGTATAAAGCACAGCCCAGTCAACAGAGTTCAGCATGTAAAGATCTGATGCATCTGGTATGTTGCCAAAAACATTATTGTAGAGTATAATTCCTCTAATAACTAGATGTGTGGAGATGAGTTGCAGATAATAGATTTACCCAAATCCTATGTGACCAATTGTATTACAGACTTACTGAGCACCAAAGTAGTACAGATGGTCAGAATGAACACAACATGCCAAGACCATCCCCAAACATTCCAACAACACCAAATCTACAAATTTATTGAGCAAGCTGTATGTGAAGGAAAGAAAACATCATACCAAAGTGGCATCTACCAGGAGAGTGCTCAAAACACCATTAATATTCTCTATCAAGATCATTGGCAAGGATTCATGTGAGTAGGCATCATATTTCATCCACAAGTTTTGCCCATGGGCAATAAAATAAAGAGTGCACTGTCTCCAGTTGTAGAAAAGGATAAAAGTTGCCATGGCATATAAGAGTAAGATGATGACAATGAAGAAGTGTGGCCTGCAAGAATTTCCATGGTTTTTGCTCAAAACTAGACAGAATTTCAACTCATTAGAAAGGCACAACATCAGCAGAGAGTAATTTATAAACCAAGGGTCCACATCATTATAGCCACTACTCTGGTATAAAATCCTAGAAGCAACTTCAGTTGCAGACAGTTTATTGGAAGCAAATAGACCCTCTGACTGTGTGATGATCCAGTGAGGACCGTTTTGTTCAGTAGTCCATCCAGAAATTAGAGGATGTCCTTGACCTTATTGTTGGTTAATTCTGGGATGGTAGTCCCAGTACCATTGATTGAAAGAAGAGCAGAGATGGACTTTGGCACCTGATCTGACTGAATAGTCAGCACTTTATGTAGAACAAATCCAGTACAATATTATCTTGAAACCATCATTACCAAAGATTGTGGTGTTGATGTAGCATACTTATGGTGGGGCAATGAACTCTGACTCTCAATGAACAACACTTGCCTGCTATCATGCAGCCTGCAAAGGCTGTTAGGCTCATACTATTGTGCTCATATGCCAGGGATTAGTAATTATTGCTCCAATGCCATGCAGCTAGCTTCTTTTTCACTTTCCCTGGCTGCTGCAATCATCTACACAGATTTTTTGCTTACTATATACATTGTGATTGTCAATGAAAATCAAGTGACCCATGCATCCAAAATCAGTCTGATGATGGTGAGAACACTAATTTTGGATCAGGCTGTCACTGTATCATTGAGACACATGCATTTTAGAACTACAACAAAAAGAACATTCCATCAATTCCACAGGATACATGATTACAAAACAAGAGAAAATTAAGTCCTTGGCACCCATTCATACCAAAGAATTGTCATGTCATCTCTTTGCCCATGTTCTGCAGGCCCAAGAAACTTGGCAAATATTTCCACCAAAGTCCCAGCTACCAAGTTCTCTAGTAGCTCTACAGCCTGGTTTCCATCTGGCCCCATCCAGCCAACTTCAACACTATGGCCAAGAGTCTTTGAGCAAAGGCTTCATCAACCTAGCTGCCAACAAGTCTCCCCACAATGATAGAAGGATCAGGTCTATCCAGCTTTTTGACCCTCTGATTGACTATAGCCTCACCTTCCACAATAGCATTGACACCATGGGTATATAGAACCAGAGTTGACTTGTGCAGTCGAAGCTCAGTGAGGTCAATAAAATGAGTGCTGTTATGATTTTTCCTATTTTTCTTCTATTTTCTCTTCTTCCTCGGAAATGACCCCTATCTTTGCTTAGTCAGGGTGCTTAGACCAGCGCTTAGGACCGTGGGAATGCTTAGCTCAGCAACCCAATCGGTCCTTATTCTACTGTGCTGCTGTGCGCTGTGAAGGGAGAGATAATACTCTTTTTGTCCTCCAACTGTGGCACAGCAGTAACAGCACACAGCAGGACAATGGGCTTTTGTGAAGAGACTAGTCATAGAGGGGGAAACAGCTCACAGCAGGACAACAGCTTTTTGTGAATGTTTATTTATAGCCAACAGTATTTAAGTAGCTCAGTTCTCACTGTAATACCCCAGTCTCGAACTAAAGTTTACACACCACCATCTTATCTCGAGCTCAACTAATTCGTCGGGCCTTGAACCACATAAGACTCTCAACACATCAGTGAACTCAGTCGAACATACCCAAAGTGCGAGGTACCGAACTGTTTATCATGTGTTGATTGTCATGTGGGATTTGGGCTTAACAATTAGTTCGAGACTTTCACATTCCCTTTCTCAAGCCCAATCATGCTGAGAAACTGAATGCCCCCTGCGCTTAATCCTTCAAACCTGAACTTTACTCAAGAGTTCTTTATACTCTTTGTTTCCATCATTGGAATTCTGGTCGGACTATTAGTGCTCATACAGCTGTGCCGTGGACACCAATCGATCATCGCCTGGTCTATCCATCACTATCATGAATTTCAGCGCATCCGTGCCATTCTATGAAATGTCACACCGGATCTTCCTCTTCATGACATCCCTGCTTCGGCTCGACCCTCAATGTCCCAACAGCCCCATCAGCCAGAGGGAGTCGACCCCGAAGACGTCTCTGGGAGAATGTCTTCGGAACACCATATGGAAGAAGAGGAACAACCACAGCAGCATGTATACCCCCCACGACCCCCACCGGCAGTCATTCAGGACACCAGAAACCCTTGGGCAATAGAGTTTCGATGACCCTGAACCGACTCCCACATCCTATCCCCCCCCCACAGTATTCGAGCAACAAGGACACCAACCCCCGTCTCTGGCACCAGCAGCAGGCGCCATGCCAGAGACTCCTTGGATGACTCGCAGGTGGCTCACGGGACCAGTACTAGGACACAGGGATCCCATCATACAATGTCAGTACGAGGTAACAGCACTGACAACAGGACAGAGATCGGACATGGCATCCACGGTAACCATGACAACAGCGAACGACAGACTGCTGCTGTCGAGGTCAACTGGTTGGAGCAACAACCCATCAGGAACTTCGCCGGGCTCTTCACCAATCAAACCAGAAGCGACAATGAAATTTACAGGGAGAACAACCTCTTCGGGAGGTATCTCAGGGCATGAGAGGCAGAACAGCGGCAAAGAGAGAGCGAAAGTATCAGCATGACCATGTTGGTCAACACCAGCACCCTCGACTCCCTATTCCAACAGCCCACCCCCTCTTACACTGAGTCTGACCCATGGGTGATGCCTGTCGACAGAGTCATCCAGGGCGACAACGTCCCAAGACAAGAGGAGCTCAACGCTGACAACGACGAGCTCAATGATGACCACCCACTATCATACGGAACGGATACCATCGCAGACACTGACAGTATCCCAAGCCACAGGAACGGGATATCGGCAGACCAGGGATCGATTGGAGGAGACAGCCAACACATTGACCCCACAGGAGACCTTAAACGGTTTCTTGATGGACCAGTGGTGGCCCTCTTTCTCCAACCCCGATTTTACCGAAACTTCCGTCGATATGGCCGAGCAATGGCGGCGGACACAACAGGGGGAGAGGCCGAGCACGAGCAACAGCAGCCTGGGCAGGAGCCTTCTCCTCGCCCCGGGCCAGAGGACGCTGGACCAAGTAACCAACCCGAGACCCATCAGACCGACAATTTATGACCTGGCCGACATTTCTCTCCTCGGAGGGGAAACATGGGACCAGGACGATGACGTGGGTGACAGAGAGGAGGGTTCAATCGCGGAGGTCGGGGACCTTCGCTTTGAATCCGAAGAGAGTATGGAAGGGCAGGGAGTGGGGGAGGTTTTGCAACATGTGGCCCAGAGGCAGGCCATTTTAAATTTTAACCAACAATTTTTGCATTATCAGATAGAGCTGACACAGCCATACAAACCAAGGTATGGCAAAAGGACGATAATCAAGCCGTGGATGCCGAACACACCATCCGCAAAACTGGTGTCCACGGCTCCATCAACCTGGACGGCACCATTTTGGCACCCACATAACACCCACGCCATCCCCGGAATGGCATCTCAGCTCAACAGGAACCGATCACAGGCAGCCCGGCAACATTTGAGCCAAAGAAAATTGCCAACGGTGCTGCAAACCCTGGCCGAGCAGCTGCCACCATATATGGCAGAAGCCAACAACACAAGAACAACTGCATGGGCACAACCACTTGATGGCGGAATCCCGACCCCTATAACCACCACGATACAACCAGCCATTCTGGAAATACACAAACAACAGATGAATGAACTTAGGCTGGTGGGAAAAACAACTACAGACTACTTCACCAAGCTGGAGCAACTCACAACACTCACTGGGGTACGGGATGACACCACCGACACCGGATACATGGTCGAATGTATCAAGATGGGACTACCACCAGTCTACCTAACGACAATTCTAAACAAGGAACAGTATGTCCCAAGGGGTTATGATGAATGGAAGGACCAAACCATCGACATATACAAAGAACGACAACGGCAAAGGGCTGAGGCGATTGTCTTGGCATATGGCCATGGAACTCCAGCACTGATATTCACCGGCACAACAGATATCGAAGACATACGTCTTCTCAGAGAAGGGGCAAGAAGCTCTAAGGGAACCCAGAAAGGGATCTGAATATAGATCGCCGAACAGCACTGATCGAATGCAAAAACTCAGCCACAGACTAAGTTAACTGACATTTTCTTTTCTATAGTAACCCCACTCTTCGAACAAGATGAACATTGTTTGAACCAACGGGATGAAACACCAGCAACACCCCATGGCCGACAACCGATTTCCATACCAGGAATCATAACCGGCAAGATACCACGAATCACAAACGAAGGAACTATAATTTCACAGATTAATTAACTTCTAACGGCAGATCATTCATCAGCATAACCCACCAAATGACACACAAAGAAACTAGGAACTTCCCCAAGAGACCGGGGAATTTCTGGAGAGTCACTGGAACCGCACTCCAAGGACAATACCGACAAAACTTCTCGCCATAATATCGAACTTTTCAAGTAACGATATTATCTCATTGGAGTAGATTCGGCCAGGGAGGAAATGGCAGGAGAAGCCATAATCCTCCAACGGAACCCTTCCATGGCATCGTCATGGCCATGGAAAAGAACGATACATGAACATATCAATGAAGGATCCAAGGTACAGGATCAGAATCCCATCACTTAATCAGTGATGGGAACACACCAACAACAGGAACATTGATTCATCAGGGATGAATTACGAATAAACCCTCTTCGGCATCAGAAAACCACACCTACAGCAGATTGGCCATCCCCGGATGGCCATGCTCACTCGTTCTGACTTAAAACGTCAGAAGAAGACCTACAAAACTCCTCGCCATAATACCCGCACTCTTCGAGTAATGGGACTATCTTATTGAGGTAACGTCGGTCTTAGAAGATCTGGACAGATCAGAGATCTACCAGATCACCCAGAAGAATCATGCTTGATGGGATATTCGTGACTCATGACGAACTATGATGTCACATATATGTCAAGATTTGCAGGGGGAAAGCCGGAACGGCACTACCGCACCGAGACAAGGACCCTTCATCAACAGGGACCTACAACCACACTTCCCGAAAACAACGGCTATGATGCCACCATTATTGTCAATTGCTTCTCGAAGACAATCATTCTTCGGCTTCACCAACTACCGAAGATTCATCCGGGACTATAGCAAAATAGTCCGACCAATGACACAACTAACTGGAAATTCCCCATGGAATTGGGGAATTTCCCAATGGGCGGCGTTTAACGACCTGAAACAGCGACTGGCAACGGACATTATCCTAGCCATCCCAAGTCAGGATGGGAAGTTCCAAGTGGAAGCCGACTCCAGCGAGGGCGCAGTTGGAGCCGTACTCTCACAGGAACAGGACAACAAATGATGATCAGTTGCATTTATGTCAAAGGCACTCACAGTGACTGAGCACAACCATGAAATCTACGACAAGGAACTCCTCGCCATAATGCTAGCTCTTGCTGAGTGGTGGCATTATCGCATTGGAGCAGTCCAGACTTTTGAGATCTGGACAGATCACCAGAGCCTCTGGTACTTCCGACAACCACAAAAGCTTAATCGCAGAACAAGCCAGATGGGTCACAGAATTATCCCAATACGAGTACATGCTACACCACAAGGCTGGAGTAGCAAACAAGAAGGCCGACTTCCTCCCGCTGCAGGGCAGACCATGACCAAGGGGGAGACAACAACAAGGAGGTCATATTACTACAACCAGAACACTTCCGACCCATGATGATGCCCACGGAAGAAGAGATGCATGAACGCATCAAAAGCACCACCCAAGATCCACACAAGTGGGATCAAAGAATCGCTCCATCACTCAATCATGAGCGTGGACTAAAGAAGGAAGGGGGGTTGATTCATTATGATGGACGAATCTATATCCCTAGGGATCACAAGCTTCATCAAAGCTTGTGAGACTTGCCAGTGAGGCAAGACTTTAACACAACCCAGGGCAGCTCCACTCCATCCGAATGAGGTCCCTTCATCACCATGGACCCACATCTCGGTGGATATGATAACCGGACTTCCTGAAAGCGATGGCTATAATGCAATCATCATCATAGTCGATCGCTTCTCGAAGGTAATCATCCCGATCGCCTGCTCTACAGAATTAACATCCGAAGGATGGGCAAAGATACTACGAGATGAGGTTTATACAAAAGTATGGCATGCCTCAAGTAGTGATCTCAGACAGGAGACCACAATTCACGTCCAAGTTCTTGGACGACTTGTACCGACTCCTGAACATCAAAAGGAATGCCTCAACGGCATATCACCCACAAATGGAACAGGCCAACCAGGAAATTGAAAAAGTATCTGCAACTCTTCATCAGTTATTGGCAAGATGACTGGACGGAATGGCTGGCATTAGCAGCATTCCAATATAACAACAGAATTCACTCCGCAACGGGTAAAACACCATTCTTTGTGAATTATGGATGCAACCCACCAGTTGCACAAGTGGGACGGCAGAACACTACATCAGCATCCGTGGATTTTGCTACAACCATGGCAAAAATCCATGAAGAGACCAAGACGGCCCTCGACAAAGCTGCTTTAACAATGAAAAAGCAGTATGACAAGACAAACGAATGGGACCCTCTGAAGTCTTGAAAAGGATTGGCCAATCGGCTTACAAGCTGCAGATCCCTGCAACTTGGAAAATTCATAATGTCTTCAATGAGACATTGTTGACACCATACTTGGCACCAGCCTTCCCAAGCCAGGAATCACCGCCTCCTCCCCCACCAGAACTCATTGACGACGAGGAACACTATGAAATCGAGGAAGTGCTAAACCACAAACTCAGAAAGGTTAAAGCACGAGGCGGAGGCATGAAAACAACTGTTGACTACCTAGTCAGCTGGAAGGGCTACAGACCAGAATCAAACCAGTGGGTCAACGAAAAATACATGGACACCGAGGATGCAATCTATGACTACGAACAATGCAATCAACGGATGGGTCCAGCAGATCGGCCACCTCCTGCCAAAGGGTGGAGGACTCCCCTTACTCAACCATCGGGATGATGGTCTTAAGGAGGGGGTAATGTTACGATTTTTCCTATTTTTCTTCTATTTTCTCTTCTTCCTCAGAAATGACCCCTATCTTTGCTTAGTCAGGGTGCTTAGGCCAGTGCTTAGAACCATGGGAATGCTTAGCTCAGCAACCCAATCAGTCCTTGTTCTACTGCGCTGCTGTGCGCTGTGAAGGGAGAGACAATACTCTTTTTGTCCTCCAACTGTGGCGCAGCAGTAACAGCACACAGCAGGACAATGGGCTTTTGTGAAGAGACTAGTCATAGAGGGGGAAACAGCTCACAGCAGGACAACAGCTTTTTGTGAATGTTTATTTATAGCCAACAGTATTTAAGTAGCTCAGTTCTCACTGTAATACCCCAGTCTCGAACTAAAGTTTACACACCACCATCTTATCTCGAGCTCAACTAATTCGTCGGGCCTTGAACCACATAAGACTCTCAACACATCAGTGAACTCAGTCAGACATACCCGAAGTGCGAGATACCGAACTGTTTATCACATGTTGATTGTCACATGGGATTTGGGCTTAACAGGTGCTGAGCGAGTTCAGGACATATGGTGGCATCACATTGTAATACCAAATGCCATCCTAGTAGTGTTGCAGTTGTTGTCCTCTCAGGAGTTTGAAGAAGAGCTCTATTGAGAACTCTGATGGGAACTTGAGACTATAGTCACCCAAACCTGTAAGCATGGAACAGTGAATACAAGGATAAGATGTATCGGTTTCTACATATCTCTTGTGTATGGTACCACACCCAACAACTGACCATTTTCCATTATAGTCTCCTTTTCCTCCAAGGGATGCATCATAGTGATAGAAAGATACTTCTTCAGAGTACACATGCTATGAAGAGTAAGGAGGCCCTCACCATATCCTATCCCATCAGGATCTTCACAGGATATTACTAATTGAACATCAGAACAGCCTGTCTTTGCATAGAGAATAACAACATACCAACAGTGGAATCACCTAGTCCAGCTAACCACATGTTCTCTTGCTCCTCATTGATAAGAGCCAATGACAGCATGGAGCCAGAAAATGCTCGCTGGAAAATTGGCTTATTGGCATTGATGAGGGCCACTGCTTGCAGGTAGTTCAAAGTGAAGGGATCTGAGCATAGATTCTTGACAGCATTGCCTATCTCTTCATCAAATTCCTCGATCTGTTCTCTCAAGACATTCTTGACCTTGCTGATGAGAGTATCTCAAGATCGACCTTGAAACTCCTCGACGATGTCACACAGCGCCTTCTCAATCAGCTGGAGAAGATTGGCAGCAGCATATTCAGATGCATGTGCACTACTGTGGCCTGGAATTAATGATTTAGTAAGATAGAATAAAGGCTACAATCAAAAGGCTCACTATTGAAGACAGCGAGAAATTTCTGTTGCAGGCAGATTACTTTTACACAGTGGATAATAGGCCAGACTGAGTATGACAGTCAATTGCTTAAAGGCAGAGGTACATATGACTACTACTTATCTGAGTATGATGGTCAATTGCTTAAAAGCAATTGACCATCGACTCAGGACAAAACTGTCTATGCTTATATAAGATTGACATCAGGTACTTGTATTATCCTGCAACACTCCCTCTCAACACAATACTTCTCAGAGTTCAAGATCCAACAGCCTGATCATGTGAGTCATCTTCTTCTTCCCTAAGACCTTTGTGAAGATGTCAGCAGGCATGTCTTCTGTGTGAAGATGTTCAATATGTATGTGTCCCCACTCAACCTTGTCTCATAACCAGTAGAAGTGGAGGTCAAGATGTTTGACATGACTGTGATGATCAGGATTGTGAGCAACAGAGAGAGCAGACTGGTTGTCAATTAGCAGTGGCAATAGCGACAGATGATGGAAGCTAAATTCTGTGAACAGGTTTTGCAGCCACAGAATTTCCTGTCCAGCAGAGACGGCAGCCACATATTCAGCCTCTGTGGTCGATAAGATTACTATAGATTGTAGCTGACTCATTCAGCTGACTGCACCTATGCCCATCTTGACAACATATCCTGAGGTCAAGCACCCATTGTCTGGGTTTCCACCATGATCTGCATCTGTATATATATTGAACAGATCTGGATTTATAACATCAGGTGAATATGTCAATTTTAGGTTGATTGTTCCCTTTATGTATCTGAGGAGGTGTTTCAGGGCCTCCCAATGTCTCAATCCAGGGTTTTTGCTGAAATGTGATAGGACACTGACTGCAAAAGCTATGTCAGGATGAGTGGCAATGGCTAGATATGCTATAGAGCCAAAGATCTGGAGATATGGGATGTGCCACATGGTTTCCCATTCCTCTGGAGTAGCAGGGGACATTGAGCTGGATAGCTTAGTGTGTAGATCAAGAGGAGTACTGACACTGTTACAGTCAGACATTCCGGTACGTTCTAGGATTTTTTGGATGTACTGTGGTTGAGGGAGTGTGAGTGTTCAGTTTAGATGGTCTCTGTGTATTTTGACACTGAGGAGGAATGAAGTTGGACCTAGATTGCAAAGTTTAAAGTGCTTCTTGAGATCATTAACAACATGTCATGCAGACTCTATGGACTTTGTGGCAATTGTTACATCATCGACAAACACTGGAACAATAATCTGAGCATCATCTCTCTTGTACACCCATATGCTGTGTTCACAGCATACTCTGTCAAAGCCCATCTTGGTCATAGCACTGTGGAGCTTTTTGTGCCATTCATATCCAGCCTGCTTCAGTCCATAGATGGACTTGAAGAGATGAAGCATCCAGCTCTTGTCCTTTGTCTCAAATTCCTCTGGTTGTTGAAGGTATACCTCCTCTTTTAGATCACCATTCAGAAACACTGATGAGATATCCACACTCTAGAGCTCTAGGTTCTCAAGTGCAGCAAGAGCAAGGACTGTTTAGATAGCTGCCTATTTTAGAGTAGGAGAGAAGGTTTCAGTGTAGTCAAAACCTGGCCACTGTGAGTACTCTTTTGCGACATAGTGTGCCTTATAGCATTCAATGAATCCATCAGGGTTATGCTTCACTTTGAAGACCCATTTTCCACTTATAGCCTTTCATTCTGGAGGGAGCTTCACAAGCTCAAAGATGCCACTCTTCTGCAGTGCATTCAATTCCTGCTGAGCTGCCTCATACCATTTTTCACTTTTCTCTCCTGGCTGGGTCATCGCCTCTGCAAGTGTCTTTGGTTCATCATTGGATGCAGATGCTTGATTTGCCATCTCTACTGCTGTCTGAAATGCAAGCTCAAGAGCTTCTGTATATATGATATAGTCATCATCATATAATACAAAGGTTATTTCTGTGACAATATCTGTCTCAGTAAGCTCTGGCTCAGCAGTGGTTTCATCAATAGGATCAGAAAGGAGTTCATCTGAGTCTAGTGAGTTCATCGCATTGGTGCTAGAATGTTTACAGTGAAAACCACATTCAGTGTTTGGAGATGGGATTATAAGACCTTTAGAGTCATATTGTGGCTCGAAGCATGCCCAAGGACATAAAAGTGGTGAAGAGGGTGTAGGAGATGTCAGAAGACTTGATAATAGAGTAAGAGGTGATTCTGGAGGTGTTTGCATATTTGATAGAGTGGACGGAGCTGGTGAGGATAGTGATGATGATGATGATGAGAGTTGCTCAGATGGCAGAGATGGCTTATCAGTAGATGTGTTCTCTCCCCCTTGATGAGACATCACTGCATCAGGTATAGCAGTATCTGTGCTGTTATGTCTGTTTGTGGGAGATGTGTTATCACCAAGAGGATTTATAATATTTTTGTGATTTCCAGGAAATACATACTCATCGAATATAGCATGGCTGGAGGTGATGAACTACTGTGTAGAAGGGTTCCAGAATAGCCAGCCTTTTACTCCCTCTGGATATCCAACAAAGATACATTTTTGGGTGTGTGACTCTAATGCTCGATGTCCTTTTTTTCATACTAGCACATATGCAAGACATCCAAACACACGAAAGTAAGATATATCTGGTTTTCAGTGATTTGGGTCTCATTCTGTGAAGGGTGTGGTGTTTGGAAGAGGATCTGTGGGGATGTGATTTCAGACATGAATGAATACTCGGAGAGTGAGATACCAAAATGATGGTGGGAGATGTGACTCATTTAGCATGGCAGTGATGGCCTCTGCAATTGTGCAGTTGGCTCATTCTGCTATGCCATTCTGGTATGGTTCATTGGGTTCAGTATGTCACCTTTTGATCCCATGCTCAGCACAAAAGTTGACAAACTCCTTTCTCATATATTCACCACCTTTATCTTCCTGAAACTCAATGATTTTGAGTCCTGGGTGGGTATTCTCTGCATATGCTTTGAACTGCTTGAAGGCATTAAAGGCATCACTTTTATACTTCAGAGGTGTGACAGCCCAAGTGTCAGATGCACTGCAGATGAATGTTATTCAGTAGCAATAGCTCTCTGAAGTTGCGACAGGCATTGGATCTTTGATATTACTGTATACTCACTCAAGAAGGTGTTTCTTCTGCTCTGAGGGGCCACAAGGGACATTGTGGCAATGCTGTTTGCCAGCGAGGCATGGTATGCAGATAAGATCAGTTGGGGGATCTGACTCTCACTTCATTCCAGTTACTAGCTGCTTTGTATGCATGTGCCATATAGTGTCCATGTTTCGATGACAGCAATGTCTGTGCCAAAGTGTGTTGTCCATCTGGCAGATACTTGTAGAACTTGAGTTTGCAATGATAGTGGTCAATTTTGAGAACAAATGTGTGGTAGCATTGATATATCTAATATTGCTCTCATTTATAGTTGCTGTGAATCAGATCTTTTCACCCTGGCTGAAAGTGACATCTGATCCAGTGATTGAGATTCTAAATCCCTTTTCCTGTGTAAGATGATAGGGTGATAAGAGATTACTTTTCAATGCTGGTACATGTAATGTATCAAGAAGTTCCACTACTGAGCCTTTCTCCCCCTTAATCTCTGGCTCCAATACTACTGACCCAACCCCTGCTGAATAAATGACTGAATTGTCTGCCAGACAAATGGAAACAACATGTGGAGCATAGAGTCAGAACCATTGTCGGTGAGGGGTCATATGATGAGAAGCACCTGTATTGGTATTCCAATGAGACATAGCAAGTGATGATAAATCAGTACTTGCTTGGCTAGCAGTCTCCTCCTTCATTTCAGCAGAGTTAGCAGCTTCCAAGTCCTTCTTTCCAGCCCCCTTGTGATGATGCTTCCCAGCAGTACAGTCAGCAGCATGTTCATGGTTCCGTTTGAGTGAAAACTTCTTGGTTATACATTCTTCTTCTGCATGATTCTCACGAAGACACCATCCACATTTTGCAGCGGCATTGGTAGCCCAATTTGTGGCTGAATGAAAAGGTGTGGCTTTGAGAGTGACAGAGACTGCTGGATCACCAGCACGCAGCTTCTGATTGTTTTCTTCATTGTGAAATGCAGTGCAGAGTCCTTTGAGAGTGAGTTTATCGGAGAGAAGGAATAGTGATGTGACGAAGTTTCCAAATTTGGGCTGAGGAAGTGCATGAATCAGGGCCATAACAAGAAGCTCTTCTTCTAACTGCTAGAGGCCAAAATAAGCAGGATGCAGAGCACAGATATGACTCATGATTTGAGTGCTCCGACTGGCAAGGTCTGGAAGTGATTCTTCTGTCTCCTTCTTGAGATTGAAGAAGCTGTTGTAGGCTACAAATCGAGTCGCCAGTTTTCTTTGCTGATGGTGTGCCTTTAATGTGTCTCACATCCTCTCTGGATCGTCAAGACAGCTCTTGACATGAGCCTTCTGGGATTCATCAAGGCAGAGGTAGATTGTGCCAGCAGCCCATACCTGAGTCTCCTTTCAGTCCTTCCAGTCCTTCCTCTCCTGATATGTTGGCTTCTTGGGGTCTGCAAACTCTGGTTCAGGGTCACGGCCAATGGTGATAAGGTACTCGCAGCGAGTTTTGAGTAGGGCCGACATGTTTTCTTCCCACTCGCCATAGTTGGAGGCATTTAGATTGTCAAAGCCTTTTTTGATTGTGTCGAAGGATGGCATGATGTATGTGGTGATATCATTTCAGTAGTGAAATGACTGATGGAGAAATAGCAGGGCACAAGCAAGATGCGAAGGAAAAAAAAACTCGAAATAGGCCTTAAAGCATGGGGCCCATAACCTGTTGCAGGCAG